AGTCTCTTATTTTCAAATTATTCAAAAATATTGATTTTTTATACTATTGATGAACTTCCAAAATAATTTTAATTTGTGTAAATAATTTTTGATTTTTTTAGACAATGCAGATTTCATGGCAAAATTTAAATATTAAAAACTAATTAAATTTCCAACTATATTTTTTCTCGGAAATGAGTGATGCATGTAGTGAGCTTTTTTATTGAACAATTGTCTACGAAAACGTTAATTCTTTATACATGAAAGCAGTTTTTGCGAGTTGCATACGTCGAAATATTGAAACCGCGTTAGTATTGCTACAAAATACCAAGATGAAAAGACACCTCCAATCGATTTGGGTATCAAGTATATTTTTATATGTCAAATTACAAATGAATCGATTTAAATGGAATTCAAATAAAAAAATTGTCCTACTGTGCGACGAAAAACTCTGGTTCCAATCCATAAAATGCGGCCCAAGAAAAAACGTTTTTCATTGACATGATTTATTTTTCTAAATATAGAATTATATCGTCTTGTGAGTGTTTGTTGCCTAGTATTTGTTATTTACAATATCAAATTGATTATTTTATTAAATATGTGAAAATCTAATTACAGAACTTTTTAAAATAAAATTTTAAATATCAGTACTCTATAATGATGATTGATTAATAAAAGTACTCTATAAGACAACAAATCCAAGAATGTTACTTGAAAACCTAGGCATAATAATAGAAAAATATACAACAAAAAAACTAAGATAACAAACACCACACATGCATATCGTCATAGCTTTTACCGTCATAGCTTAAAAAATACTGTAAAAAAATAACCGTAAATATAGATTCATTTGTATCAATTATATATAACCGTAAATCTTCTTCAGTTTGCATTCTTCACAACAAGAGACATCAGCGCAGCGCAGAAGACGGATTAGGTGTAGCGAAATCACCAGAAACCGTGAGTTAACAACAAATCACCTTTTCATCACAACTAAACCCGAAAANAGAATCTTTNATTGCAATTCAGTTCTGTAAGACTCAAAAATACNACAAGCTAGCTGNCTAGATAANATTCACTTGGGAGTAGAGTACACATTCATTGGCTTCAGAAATTTAGAACGGCTAGATTTTGAAATCAAGATACCTTCTAGAGTGGAAGACGTTGTTGTTTTCAGGAACAAAAACATCGTAACCAAGAATGTTTTCCGCCTTTTGCAGCAATGCAATCTGATAGTTCCACTACAATCACAACCACATCCTAAAATCAGACAAGGGGTCAAGGCCTCGCCGTCGTTTGCATCGCCGATCCTCACCCTCCCTCGCAGCTTCTGGCTATTGAACTAGCTCGATCCTTTGGTTGGGAACTCAAGGTATTCCCTTTTCTCGATCATCAAACTTAAGATTCACTATTCAGTTCTGTGTAGAGAGGAGACCTTTGTAAAGTGTTTCTCTTTAATGTTCTTGTGCATGATTGTTTGATTTTGTGCTTGAGAAACTCTCTTGGTACTTCAAAATTGATTGTGGTAATCTCAAGATTTGAGATTTTCCCGCTGTGGTGATTGAAGGTTTTCTCAGGACACCAAGAGTTGGTCAAGAGTAAGCTGTGCGGCGTGACCGTTGTATCTTCTCCGAATATGACTCATCATCAGTTATCCAAAACCGCATCATGTTCTTGTTGAAAAGCCTTTATGCACCACAATTTCAGATTGAAAAACAAGTCATTTTCTTCTTCTTGTGTGTTTGCTCAGTCTGATTGATCAATTCATCAAAGGCTGTGTCTAGAATCGGGTTCTGGAGGCTGCAAAGAGAAGGCCAGATCATGGTGGGGCAAGTTGGGTTAGAGTACAGATACATGCCACCGGTATGTCACGGGCCGTTGAATATGGTCCGGCCCATTGGGCTAATCTAGGGTCTTACTTAAGCCCAAAACCTTTGTAAATATCTAAGTAAATATATTTTGGGAAGGATATAGAATAGTGTAGAATTCTATGGAAGGTTATGGAAGGATGGGGAAGGTTATGGAAGGATGATGAAGGTTGT